CAGATGCGTATACTCCAGACTGATTAAAGACCTAAATGCAAAAGTAAAATTCTAAGGGTACTGGAAGAAAATACAGAGTATGCCTATGACCTTAGAGTTAGAGAAGGCCTTTTACAAATTATCATTGACTGTTTTAGACATATGAAAAGTTTAAAGACTACTTTAATGACCATCCATTTTCTCACCATAGCTTAAGAATAAAACATTACAAACATAATTGAAGCCAAATAAATAGTTCTTGCCCTTAAGAAGTTCAAAGTTTAGAGAGGTAGAATATGCACAGAGTGCTACAGCAGCATAGAGAATATCCAATTCAGACAGGGCCCAGAAGAGCCCAGTTATGAAATAAAAGTTTTCTAGACAAGGAAAATAGAATACATATGAGCTATACATCATCTTTGACACTAATTGTCAAGTGAAGATTACCAATGGCAAAATCCCAGAGCGTGCCAGTCTACAAACCAGAGCTGTGCTATCTGAAACAGAGTTCTGATGAGTTTACTTTGTGTTAGGGAGTGGGGTGCGTAATACATACAACAGAACACCCAAACAAAAACAGACTGTACAGAAGACCAATATGAAATGCACTATTCAGAAGTAATTACGAAACCGATCTACCTTAGAACAAAGGATGAAACTGATTTGTTTGAGTAAAGAGAAAATAAAAATTTGAAGGCAGAATGTTCCAATTTTAACAGGGCAACAGATTTATCGTGCTGAAAGAAATAAAGCTCCTGCTCTGAATATGTATACACGCAGCTTTAAAACAATAATCTCTATTACAGCCACATTTCAATAGATGTAGCTCTCATTCATGATCAATTAGCTAACTTAATTCTCATTAAATCTCACTAAGATATGCTAGATAGACACAGAATACAAAGGAGACTGTAGCCATTGTGACAATATCACAAGTGTTTCCGAAGCATTTCACATTATTGACCAGCTCTGCTTCTTGAATTTCTCATACCTCCTGGTTTCTACGTAATCATATTATGTGGTTGAATTCTTTATCTACTTTACTGAATTCTCTGCTAGGGTTTATCTCCTGACTACGAATGTACCCCAAAGTATCTGGCATCTACTACTCTTTTAAAATACCAACTTCTTTGAAGACATATGACTTCAACTATTACCTTCGAACAAAATAATTTCAAGAATTCTGACTGGGACCTTTATTAACTCCAGTTATGTATCATGGTCTTAGATATTCTTCTGCCTCTGACTCAAATGAATTTAACATGTCTAAAAACCACACACACATATACACAGGGTCATGCACATGTACATACATAAATGCACACACTTTTTTTTTATCACAGCACTTATCTTTTTTCCCCATCTAAAAACACCCACCCTTGCCTAAGTCAATGAGGTCCATTGTTGTCTCTTACCTATCTATTACATTCAGCTTTTCTCAATTACAAATCTTATGCAGTCTTCTTTCATAACGTCTTTCCCATTTGTCTCTTCTTTTCTACCTAATTTAGGCACTGATCACCTCAATACTTATAATTGCCTTCCTGCTTCCAGTCTCGTTCCTCCCTCCAAATCATTCTGAACATTACTGGTGGATGAATCTCTCTAAAACACTACTTTAAACTTGTTGCTCTTTTCCTTAAAAGTTTTTTAAAGGGTGAATAATAATGCCAAATATTTTAGCTATTTAAGAACCTAAAACTTTGGCTTCAGTGTGCCTGTCCAATCTATCTTCTCCAATATTCAAAGTCCATTCTAAAAAAACCTCTCTACTCAGACTTCTCCACCAAGCTACTCCACCACTATACTTCTAGAGAAGAGTAAGCAATCTGGTTTCTACTCCAATCATGCTGAAATTATTTTTGCAGTTTCCCAAATGCAAAGCAAATATTTAAGCTCTTCATTTTACTTGACCTCACCATGCCATTCACAATTCGGTCTTATCTATCATCATTCCCTACTAGCCACCCCTATGGATTCTAAGCTCAAGCCACAGCAAACTACTAGACTTTGCCTAACACACTTTGTTATTTCAGAGTTTGTGCTTTCACATATGCTATTCCCTGCCTCCAGAATGTCTTTTCCCGGATTCTGCTTTGCACTGTTTATAACTCAGATGGAAACATCATCTCTTCTGTGGAAGAGATGGAATTTCCCCAACTCTTGCAAACATCTTTGCTCCCAATGCACTTGTATATAGTTCCCTAATACTATTCATAACACTGTACTGTAATTGTTTATATGTCTTGATATTGTCAGAATCTAACACACAGTCATATGCCGCATAATGACATTTCGGTCAACAACGGACTGCATAGATAATGGTGGTCCCATATATAATGGTGGTACCATATAGCCTAGGTGTGTAATAGGCTATATCATCTAGGTTTGTGTAAGTATATTCTATGATGTTAGCACAATGACGAAATCGCCTAAGGACACGTTTCTTAAACCATATCCCCATCGTTAAGCAACGCGTGAGTATACTTTGAGGCACAAAGCAGCAAACAATTAAGAGTGGGTTTTAAAAGACCTACTGGTGTGGCCATATTATTCCAGTCACTGTCACTCAAGCATACTACGTGAAGAGGCAGTATTTGTATCATGGTTAAGAGCTCGGATTGTGAGACCAGGCTGTCTAGGTATGAATTTTGGATCTACCACTTATTAGCCGTGTGACACTGGGCAAGTTAATTAACCTCTCTGTGCCTCGATTTCCCTCTTTGTAAAAGGAAGATAATAAGATCTACCTCATAATGTTATGAGGATTAAATGAATTAATACAGGCAAAATGCTCAGGATAGTGACTGACATAAAATAAGCATTACATATGTATTGGCTACTATAATTAATATACCTTGGTTATTTCCCACCTTTTCCACGTAGACCTCTATTTGGAATGGGCTCCCTTCATTTTTCTCTTTACCCAAATCTTACCCAGGTTTCAAGGCTGACCTCTGGTAAATCCTTTGATCATTCCAACCCTTAAATGATCACTCTCTAATTTAAATATCTATAGCATTTTCTGTATCATTCTGCATTTGATTAAAACTGCCTGCCATCCTTGTAATTTTTCACATAACATTTGTCAACCCAATTTCTCTAAACTCTTTGAAGGTCCTGATAACATCTCATGCATCTTTGTAAGTTCCTACAGCCAGTAGTACGTGTTTAGTATTTGCTGTGTAAAATAATAAAGCTCAGCAGAAACTTCAACTTGACCACTCTGTCTTTGCAATCAAAGAAACGGAGAGGACTGTGAGAACATTCCATGCTTCTCTAGGAGCCAAGCTGCAAACGTATCACGGCCAGGGAATTCTCCCATTAAAATCAGAAGCTCTGAAATAGCTTCCAGGGGAGAAAACCCTCCCTGCAGAGGAGTTATGAAGAGTCCTTAAGTTCCCAAACTAAATTGTAGTAGTGGCTTCTCTATGAGAAACTTGTTAGCATGACAAAATGACGGACTGAGATTATAGGATTTGGAATTACACAGATCCAGGTTTCACAGGGACCCTCAGCCTCAGTTTCCTTCTGTATAAGGTGGGTATTCTAACACCTACTTCACAGGTATATAATAATCACATTCACCCTAACAGTTAACTGAAGCACAAAATTCTCTTCGGAAAAATTTTAAATAAACTGAAAACACTGCAATCCATAAATAAAAATGAGAACATTGAACACATTTTTCATTACATAAGAAAACAAATTAGCTGGCAGCAGTACTTATAATATTCTAAATTACCTATGAGAAAATTAAACATGTATAGTATTGTCAGTTATACAGATCTGAGATGAGGGAAAAATTCCACTACAAAATTTATCCTCCTTTTCTGACACTTTCTCCATCCTGTAATTTTTTTTCTTCCACTTCTGATTAAAAACAAGTATTCAAAATTATCCCAGAAGAGAAATATTTGGAAAGCACAATTTAACTTAATATGAAGTTGGTTCAACAAATGTAGTGTTCCGATTTATGGTCCAAATATACTTCCAAATAGGAATTAACAAGAATTTAAGAAATGAAGATAATGGCGAACAGCTCATATGATGACCTGAGTCAGTAATTTCAAATTAAGAGTTGTTCCAACTTGAAGCTGGCAGTCACAGTCTAAAGGGTTTGTTTACAGCACTGACTAAACCAAACACTCCAGTCTTTTAGAAGATTCATCCTGGCGCTCTAATAATTAATTCTTTTAAAGCAGTATAATTGCCAAAGTGCCCAATACTACACAAATTAAACTGAAATGAGTTTCCTTGTGAAGGAAAAAAGAACAAAAGTGACAAATCTTATTTTTAGCCTGTGATATTTTTTCAGTTTGGGGTTACGAATAAAACGCTGTTCATCTACCGAAAAAAAACAGAACTTTGCTGCTTGGAATAATCTTTAAGCTTGGGGGAGGGGGTGCAATTTTAAAGACATGGATTTGGTGCCTTTAGGAGACAGCGGTATGTGGGATTCATTAGGACCGGCACATAATAAGAGATCAAAAGAAAACAGACGTTAGTTAGGAATGTTAATAAGTATGGTGAACTTCCAGCAATGTTGAAACGTTACAATTTAAGGATGAAAAGATGGCTTTTGGGAAGAGAATTAACCTTCGGATAGAAAATGAAGAGTCCAGCGCGGGGCTAGTGGAATTTAAGGGGAGATGGAAAGAGAATTGCGAAAAAAGTGGGGATTTGGTAACCAAAAAGGGGTATGACCCAGAAGGTAGTTTCGGGATGGGGGCGTATGTGTGTGGTGTGGTGTGGTGGATATAAGGTTTGCACTTAGGGTCGAGAAATCTAGGTGACAAAATTGGGGAAATCAAATTCGGAGGTGTGGGAACCCGAAGGGGAAGGAATGTGGGAATTTCCAGGCTGGGGCTAATAAAGTTCGGGGCGTGCGCGCTGTCGGGGCGCCCCTGCCCCGGGGAAGGGTGGCCCCCTAGCGTGCCCCCTCTCCTGGCCGGTCCGCCCCGACCGAGCCCTTACCCTTCCGCTACACGGCCCTCCGCACCAGCACGGCCCCTCCTCACCTCAGGCCGCGGCGCCTCGCTCCTCCACGTCTCCACAGCGCACGTCCCCCTCGGCGCCAGGCCGGGCTGGGCCCGTCGGCCGGGCGGCCGCGGCCCCCAGCTCAGCTGCGCCCGGGCGTCCCCCGCGCGGTTCCGCGGGCCTCTCGGCTCCCCGGCCCGGCACCGGCTCGCTCCCGGCTCCTTCCCGCAGACGCGGCACGCAGGCCTCCTCCCACCGCGGGGCGATGTGCCCCACTGATCCCGCCCCGCGGCGCCCCCGCCCACGGACTTGGGGCCTGTGCGCTGATTGGCCCCCGCGAGACCCGGCGCGCCCGGGCATTGGCCCAGCGGCTGCCCGTCGGCGAGGGGGCGGAACGCAAGGCGGCTGCGATTCCCGTAACGCGGCTCCCGGCGTCCCGGATTCCGGTGGCTGCGCCCGCGTCGCCTCTTCCAGACGAGATCGAAGGGTTCCCCCCACCTCCTCTCTGCGGGCGGAAGGAGCGGAATGTTCCATTTTTCCGTGGAATAACGGGGTCGTGAACTGAAGTCGGGTGCTGCCCGCGCTGGCCGCCCTTCCTTCCCGCTGCGGCTCCTTCGGGCTCCCTTTGCGGCCTTCCACGGGGGACTCAGAGCCGCGAGGGACCGCCGGGCACCCTTGGGGACAGGGGAGGCGTGGGAGCTCCTCGGGAAAAGTGGGGGGCTCGGTGGTCGTGACTCTCGTGCGGCGACGAGATCCCCGCAGATTGTGGCGGCGGCGGCTTCGGTCCAAGTCTTATGTAAACGAACCTTGCCACTATATATATTTTTAAGTTAGTATATGAGTTTGGTTGTGATTTATCAGTGAACCCCAGAGCTGGTGACACGCCAAGAAACTAGCTTTTCTTTGCGGTTTATGCCTCCCAATCTGTGATCAAAATACCGAGTAAAAACCAATTTCATTACATTCTCCCACCCCCAGCCTGTAAAAGGGCCCTTCAGGCTCGCTTTGATGTAGTTTTTCCAGAGCAAGATGAGAAGCGTAAAAGATAAGCTGTGTGTGTGTAAAGAAACACCTCCAAGGCCAAGGTCTTTTGTGGAAGGATGGCAGACTATAGGAGGGGAATAATGGTTTAATGGACTTGAACAAATTATACCCATAAGTTAACAGACAATTATAAGGTTCTTCATTATATGGAGGATTCAGATAGAGTAAAACACAGACCAACTTATCATCTCTTAGTTGTTGATCAGATAATTCTTAAAAGACACGGAAAAGTGGGCCTGCTATGTGTCTAGTGCTAAATAAGTCCCCGGCAAGCTTGGGGTCGGTGCTGCAGGGGTGACAGAGCTCCATTGTGTTCAGCTGCTGCTGCTCTCTGTCATCCTATATCTAACCTACAGAGTGTGACTGGATTGTATTCTAGCTCTGCGGTTTATAGAGGTGTTTATTTTAAAACTTTTAAAGAATTTTCTTAAATTAAAAAATTTATTTAGATCTAGCAAAATTTTATTTAGGGCAATGTATAGTGCTTAAGTGTACTTTTGGGTTCCAAATTACCGGAATTTGAATCCTGGTGCTAATTCCCATATCTGTGAACTCAGGCAGGTCTTCTCAGTTTCTTCATCTTCGAAATGAGAATAATGTACCAACCTAATAAGATTGCTATGAGGGTTAAATGAGTTAAAATTCATGAAGTGCCTGGCACATAGTAGGTGCTCCATAAATGTCAACTGTTATCGTTATTGAATGTCTACTATGTCAGTGCTTCCTAAACCTTTTTGCATCACAGCATAATTGAAAATGATGACATTTCTCTGGCACAGGGAGTAGACAGAGGGGATCAATATCTCACAGCACACTCACCTGCCTTGGCCATTGGTCAGGAAAGCAAAGGTCTGAGTTAGTCCTTTTGTGGATATCTTTGTATTGGCTCAGCCCGGCCCGAACCCCTAAGAAACTCATTTTGTGGGGATGGTTAAAGTCCTAGGCTAAAAAAATGAGTCAATATTGTGAGATTTTTCAGAACAGCAAGAGCCCTTCTTCCCTCTGCTGGAATTACATGACCTTACAGACACCTCTGTAGGGTACTGGCCCTGAAATAACCACTTTCAAGTTAAGGATTTGTCATTAGAAAGCCCTGTCAAAATGCAAAGATAAGTGGGAAAAAGTGACATATCAATCAAGAACTTTCCGTTTATGCCTTGGGACCGTTTGGGAATTTAAAAATGTCAAAAGCGGAGGGTGGGGAACCTGTATAGTGAGAGGGCAACATGAGGACACTGAGGTTACTTGAGAGTAGGTGAACAAAGCTAGGAGAAAATGCTATGGAACAAAGGTGATAAATGTGGAAGACAAACCTGGCCTGCCATGCATTTTGTTTAAATCTGGCCCTGACCAGGAAGTACATGGATAGCCATTTACTTCCTTGCCTGTGCCTAAGGTGTTTCTGAAACTGCGTCAGCCTAGGAACTATCTCCACGTCCTGCATCAACCTAATGACATCAGCATCCATTATAATGACTCAATTAGCACCCTAACCTCACAATTTCTCATCATTCTCTTTTCCAGTGTTCTTCAACTTCACTCTGTATCAGAAACCCACAGATCTAACCACACCTTGGATCGAGTCATCGGATGAAATTGCTCCACCTGCAAAATTTTGGATTGTGAGTTTCTCTCTCTACTGAGAGCTACCTACCCTTCTAGCTCTCTTACTCACTCACTCCCATTGAGTCTGCAATTTGTCCTCAAGGTGACCTCCAGTCTTTGTTCTCAGAGTTTATCAGTAATTTCCTACCTTCTCTTATCTTCCTAAACTGTGAGAACCTTTTATCAACCATTTTACTGCTCTTAGTAGTATCTTCAATTCCCTTGACCTTCAGCCATGTTTACCTTGTCAATGCTATTTCCTATTTCCCTTTTCCTTGAACTACCAGCCCCTCCCCAACATTTATTCTTAGTACAGAACCTTGTTTCATTATTCCCTGTAAAAACCAAGCCCACCATTTTTGAGCATCCTTAACTTTTTTTCTCCAATTTAGGAGACAACTATGTATTTATCCTTTTCCTCTTTTTCCCATTGCTTAACAGGAGGAACAACCCATATTCTTGTAAAAGTTTTCCTCTTTCTATGTTCTTCGTCCTGCTCCTACCAAGTTCAGCCTCCTAGTTTTCTATTTTTCATGATTAGCCTAAAATACCTTAGAAAATTAAAAAAATTAAATACTAACTCAATGGTGAGTTGGGGACAGCTTTTCTGTATATGTTAAAACCTTTGTAACCTAATAGCATCTAATTCACCAAACAGAATTAAAAGTAATTAATTCAATATAAGTCTCAAAAATGAAGCAATTTAAGCCACATCATAATCCACTTAATAAAATAAGTTTGCGATGAAATATAAACTTAAATCAAGTTGTAACTAAATTTCCAAGCTAGAAAACAGGAAAAATTCATTTCATAGCAACGAAACTAAGCAACATTACGACTCCATTTCAAAAATCTTACTGAAGAATAATGTATATTCAGAAAAATGATCATACTATGAGTATAACTTGAAAATTTTTCACAAACTGAACACAGCCATGTAACTTGCATCTAGATCGAGAAACAGAACATGACCAGCTCCCAAAAGGCCCCTCCTGCTTCCTTCTAGTTACTGGAAGGCCACTGGTGACCACTATTCTGACTTCTGGCACCATAGTTTTATGGCTATCATTTTAAAATTGAGAAGTTAGCAGAAACTTCTTAATGTTATTAGTACTTGCTTATTTTATTTCATTCTAATGAAATAGTAGAGCAGGAGAGTTTGAAATGAGATAAGTACTGCTCTGTATAAAGGTTAAGTACAGATGTGAATTGAAGCGGAGGGAGTCTAGCTTCTCGTTACTCCAGACCTCTGGGAAACCTGGTGAAATGGCCCTGGGCTGGTCAGTGATCTTGCATTACCCTCTTTCACAGAGAGCTTGGATTCAGAGAAGGAAAGGCCAGTGCAGAAGCGTGAGCAGCGCTTAGGTGCATCCTATTCACGGATACATGCATAGGACAGGGAAATCAAGTATTGTGACTGCAGCTTTGGAATAGCCCACACTAGCTTCAGAATACCATCCTGAGGAGTTTGAGCATACTTTGCTCTTGTTAGCTCTGACAAAACATGTGCAGAAGCAAGGGCTTTCCTTTGTTGACCCTCATTTGAAAGAATACTCTTCGCTTACAAAATAGATTCCTTGGCTCCAAGTCTGATACTTATACTAAAACCAGATAGGGGAGAAATACCAATATGAATTTTTAGAAAATATTTTTATTTTTTATTCTTGTATGGCCAAGAATTCCCATACCCTTGCCTGGGATTTGGATAAAGACATAGTACTAATTGTATTAAATAATGGCTAGGCAAATGTGTGTCTGTCTCCTCAAGGGAAGATGGCAGTGCCTACTGAAAAGGTAAAATTAAATGAATATACTTCTTGAGATAACTGGAATTTTCTGAAAATTGTCCTCTGATTTTTCTTTACAATTTTAGGAGTTGGTCATTTTCCATAATCAACAAATAATAAATGGAATTTAGTGTCAGAGTCAAATGAAACTGGAAACAAAGCTAATCTAGCTCATATTTCAAATGATGAGAATTATTATTTTGCTGTAAGCAGGCAGGAGATAGACAGACTCTTAGGGTGAACTCTGTGACCTCTCACTTCCTGGTGTTATTTGTGTCATTTCCTTCTCATGACTGTGAAAGTATGTACTTGACTATGTTAAATAAGATTATAATGCCCATCTTGCTAGTGTCTCTTTGTTGTGGCTTTGAAAAATCAAATTGCCATGTTGTGGCCTCTATGTTACATGAGACTGTAATGCTTGTCTTGTGAGGAGGCTCTTTCTCTCTCTCTTGCTGGATTTGATGAAGCAAGCTGCCATATTGTGAACTGCCATATGGAGAGATCTATGTGTCAAGGAACCGAGGGTGGCCTCTGGCCAACAGCTAGTGAGAAATTGAAGCTTTCAGTCTTACAACCTCAAGGAACTGAATTCTGCCAACAAAACAGATCCTGCCCCAGTCAAACCTCAGGTAAGACAGCATCCTCAGCCAACAATTTGATAGCAGCCTTGTGAGACCCAAAGCAGAGAACCTAGTCAAGCTGTGCTCAGACTCCTGACCCAAAGAAACTGTGAGATAATAAATGTGTGTTGTTTTAAGCTGCTAAGTTTGTAGTAGTTTGTTATACAGCAGTAGAAAACTAATGCAGCTTGCAAAAGTTGAAA